ATGATGATGATGATGATGATGATGATGATGATGATGATGATGATGATGATGATTAGTGATGATGATTAGTGATGATGATGATGATGATGATGATGATGATGATGATGATGATAGTTATGATGATGATGATGATGATGATGATGATGATGATGATGATGATGATGATGATGATGACGGTGGTGGGGGTGATGATGATGATGATCTACTGAATCCCGTTCCTTTGCCTGTTGAGGCCGGGCAGGAGGTTGATGACCCATCAATGCCTTCTCCTTAGCCAAGCAGGACAAGGCTTCAGAATTGTGCCCTCAGCAAAGAAGTTCCTAGATAGGCAAATGCCAGCAGCTGAGAAAAGCACCAGCCGGTTCCTGGCTGCTCGCACTTGATCCTCAGTTAGCCCCCACACACGCGCATTCTCTCTTTGGCACACGCACATTTATGACTGTCATGTTCTTGCCAATTTAGTCTGGCGTCTCTGGCAAGCTGGCAGGGTGGCTTCCTTCTTGTGCCAACCTCATTCTGGTTCTGAATGATGTAGAGGTTGTTCACATACATGGCTGAAAAGCTGCCACAGCCAACAGCCCTTGAGCCTACACCTGCTGCATCACAGAGATCAAGCAACTTGCTTGCAGCAGCCCTGAACCACAACTGCAACCACATCTTGCTGGCAAATCCAAGAAAATCAAGAGGCATCAGGCTGTAAGAGAAGTGCAAGATTGCATGGGGGAGCTAACGATACAGAGCTTGCCAAAGGATGACGGCATTCACAATGGCACATGAGTTTTGATGAAAAGATAGCCCCTTACTGTTACCAGCAATTGTTCCTTGTCAAGACATATAGAACCCCCTGCAATAACATACACCCAAAATCAAGGCGCTTGGAATGCAAGGCGCTGTCGGCTGGCTTGTCTGGGCCCAAGGCAGGTTGGATGTCCTGGCACACCTCCAAGGGCAGCAGGCCTCAGCCAGAAAGCGGCCAGGGTGAGAGGCAGTGAGTCAGGGTTCCCTGCACCAAGCCCGTTTGGGTAGCAACTTACAGTTACATCAACTCAGGATTAGCTCACAAAGCATGTTCAGTGCACTGAGGATGGTCTGAGGCACCAACAGGCAAGCAACCTGAGCATGGCTGATGGAACCCCTCATGAAGAGGCTAGGGTGGGTTGCAGCCATGCCTTGGAAAGCCAAGGCATGGAGGGGCAAGGGTAAAGGATAGCTTGGTAGGTCAGGGGAGCTCAAGCTTCTGATTGCAGAAGCACTAGGCCAAACAGCATTTTGTTGTTGACATCAACGCTCCATTGGAATATGTTTTTGCAGCCATTTCACAATGACAGATTGTTTATGGACCAGCCCATGGGTACTGTCAGAATTTGAGCCTTGGCTGGGTGGCAGAAAAGCAGGTCAGACATCTCACCTGTGGGCTTGAACGTTTTCTTGTTGGAAACAGCTGCCATCAACCACACACACACAGAGTGTTCCCTGATTATCCACTGGGTTGTCCCTGCATCTTTGGTGCTGATTGAATTTCTTGGGCGGGACACTCCAAGACATGAGGAGCAATGAGTGCCCTGAGGGCTTAGCAAAGTTCCAGAGAAACAGTTGGCAGTTTCAAAATGCCTTGTGCAATACTGGAGGCTACCCAAATTCAGCAGTGGCCAGAACAGTACATTGCATTCACTTAGTGCTGTTTGGAATGGCATGTTAGCCCAGCCCTCTGCCCAGCCAGCCTTTGCACTGCCTAGAAAGCTGTGTGCAGACCTCAGTCAGACCTCAGTCAGTGTCTGAACCTTAGTATGCAGCAGGCTCCGCTCTGCTGGGACCTTAGTGAACTAAGCCTTAGTATTGCAGGGTTTGAGCCTTAGTGTCCTGCTGCCCCTTTTTGCGGCTGCTTTTATGGTTGACGGCAAGTGTGCAAATGCAGCATGGCTGCAAGTGAAAGCATAGAGCTGACTGAAGCTTCATTTCAATTTGACTTTTGGTGCTATGGTCAAATGGAAACTTAGGACCAGAAATTTCTGAACGCCACTGCCCAGACACCTTGCAGCCTACACTTTGCCCACCTGCTCCCTGACAACTATACATGTCCCATGCTTGCAAAGTGTTCTTGTACATCCCTTCCTGTAAATCCAGGGCTCAAACAACCATGTGATGCATTTAAGATTAAAATTCACCATGAAGCTTTGGGATTCAGTTATTGCTGCAAGTAATCTTGTGCTTCAATGCTGCAAAGAGAGCCAATCACTATTTAGCTTCATGATGTTGAACAGCAAGTTTGAAAAAGGTGGCCCCAATGCGAATGACATCTCAGGTGATGAACTAGCAGGTCCTGTGTTTTCCAAATGGTTGTGCCCTCTGTGCTGGCAAGTACTTTTCAGTTGTTACAGTTCTAAAGCAAAGCAGGGGTATGGACCACTAGGCCATTCAATATTGCAGTCTTGGTGCAGGCTAAAGTGCCCCATGACCATCCTCCCTGTCTGGCCAGGCCTGCTTGGTCATCTTTACCACGTGCCCAAAAAAAAGGTGCGCTTTTCAGCGCTACCCGCTTTTCAGCGGTGCCTATGTTTTTACCCTCCCTCCCTCCCTGTGAACTGCTGCTCCAAGTATTCCATGAAGTAGTCCGAGCCACAGTGCAGGGGGTGGGCACAGGGAAGGGTTGGGATGTGGGCACAGGGAAGGGTTGGGATGTGGGCAGGCAAATGTAACTGTGGGGGGGGGACATCCTTGGGGAGTGGGAAGTGAGACAGTTGGAGGGCATGTGGCACATGAAGAAAGGACACCTTGGAAGTGGGAGGGTGGGTGGAAGTGGGAGGGTGGGAGGGTGGAAGTGGCATGTTGATGAGGAATGATTGGCATGCCCTGCCCCCCCCCAACCTCAAATCATGGGCAAACACTGGTATCTTAGAATGTTGGTGCCTGTATCTTAGTTCCATTTCTTCTGGTTTTTTTACAATTTCTGCGGTGCGCGCGCGACCCTCTGCGGAGATTCGCGTGGTCGAGGTTCAAAAACTGAGGACTTTTTACGATTTCTGCTGGCCGCGCGCGACCCTCTGCGGAGATTCGCGTGGTCGAGGTTCAAAAACTGCGGACTTTTTACAATTTTTAGCATGCGCGCGCGAGTCTCTGCGGAGATTCGCGTGGTCGAGGTTCAAAAACTGAGGACTTTTTACGATTTCTACGGTGCGCGCGCGACCCTCTGCGGGGATCGTGCGCGTCGAAGCGCTCTCGCTGTGGCGCCGTGCGAATTTGTCTTAGTCTCGGCAAACCCTCTGCGGAGATTGTGCGTGTCGAAGCGCTCTCGCTGTGGCGCCGTGCAATTTTCTTGCTCGCGAAACGGCCTTTGGAAGTTGTCTCGTGGTTTGCGCGCCTGCTTTCGCAATCCCGCGGTCGCGGGTTCGATTCCCCCCTGGTCCGCGGCAGCTCCGGCTTGAAAATCGCAGCTTTTAAGTACAAACGTAGTACGCGGAGCGTGCTCCTGCAGCTCCGGCTGGAAAATCGTAACTTTTCCGTACAGATGTAGTGTGCGGAGCGTGCTCCCGCTGGAAAATCGCAACTTTTAAGTACAAACGTAGTACGCGGAGCACACCCCCGCAAGCTCCGGCTTGAAAATCGCAGCTTTTAAGTACAAACGTAGTACGCGGAGCGTGCTCCTGCAGCTCCGGCTGGAAAATCGTAACTTTTAAGTACAGACGTAGTGTGCGGAGCGTGCTCCCGCAGCTCAGGCCGGAAAATCGCAACTTTTAAGTACAAACGTAGTACGCGGAGCACACCCCCGCAAGCTCCGGCTTGAAAATCGCAGCTTTTAAGTACAAACGTAGTACGCGGAGCGTGCTCCTGCAGCTCCGGCTGGAAAATCGTAACTTTTAAGTACAGACGTAGTGTGCGGAGCGTGCTCCCGCAGCTCAGGCCGGAAAATCGCAACTTTTAAGTACAAACGTAGTACGCGGAGCACACCCCCGCAGCTCCGGCTTGAAAATCGCAACTTTTGAGTACAAACGTAGTACGCGGAGCGTGCTCCTGCAGCTCCGGTGGAAAATCGCAATTTTTAAGTACAGACGTAGTATGCGGAGCGTGCTCCCGCAGCTCAGGCTGGAAAATCGCAACTTTTAAGTACAAACGTAGTACGCGGAGCACACCCCCGCAGCTCCGGCTGGAAAATCGCAACTTTTTAAGTACAAACGTAGTACGCGGAGCACACCCCCGCAGCTCCGGCAGCACTTGCGCAGAGCAACTTGCGCAGAGTCACTTGCGCAGAGCAACTTGCGCAGAGCAACTTGCACAGAGCAATTGCACAAAGCACTTGCGCAGAGCAACTTGCACAGACCAACTTGCACAGAGCACATGCGCAAAGCGCTTGCACGGAGCAACTGGCGCAGAGCCCTTGCGCAGAGCAACTTGCTCAGAGCACTTGCGCAGAGCAACTTGCACAGAGCAGGCGCAGAGCAACTTGCACAGACCAACTTGCGCAGAGCACATGCGCAAAGCGCTTGCGCGGAGCAACTGGCGCAGAGCACTTGCGCAGAGCAACTTGCTCAGAGCACTTGCGCAGAGCAACTTGCACAGAGCACTTGCGCGCAGCAGCTTGCAGAGAGCAACTTGCGCGCAGCAGCCTGGAACAATGCAGCTTGCGCAGACCGCTTTCGTGAGAAATCGCGCGGCGCAGTTCGAGAGGAAAGTAGGATGATGAGATGGAGCTCTCATGCGACCATACACACTGAGCATCGCCGCGCGCAGACACGCTCGCCGCAGCGATGTAAAAAGGTGTCTCCGCGACTGGATGAGCACCTGTGGAAAAATGCTTTCGGGCCAATCGTCCTCTAGTTAGGTTTCCCTTGTTTTGTGGGCTTCTTCCAGGAAAGCCAAAAGGAAGACCACGAAAATAAGCCGTCCGGGACCTCCCCACCCCTTTTTTGTTGGTGGTTTTGAAGGGAACCAAAGGAACAGAAAACACGGCGATGTTTTTTGGGCCGACACAACGCCCATTTTGCGGCCAGTGGCTTGTCCTTCAGGCGATCTTCAAGGAGCTGGGGGTGAAGGATGTGTTGCCGCCCGGCACCACGGCCACCGTCACGCTGGAGGTGGACAAACAAGTTTGCTAGGCCTGGGACCGGTGTCCGCTTTGGTTCCGCTTGGGGCGCTTGGGGGCTTGGGGGCTTTGGGGCCTTGGGGCTCGGTGGCGGAAGTCGTCATCTGCCAAAGCCAAGGGTGGTCCAAGGTGAAGATAACGGTCGTAGCAGAGAGCAACCAAGTAGCGCGTTGGCGCGGCTTCAAGGGGAAAAGAAGGGTGGCCCCAGATTTCAACTGGAACCCAAGAGGGCCTTTTTTTTCTGGTAAAGAGTTGGTGGTTGGGATTGGATTTGAAGCCCTGTTTCTTGTGGGTAGATGGGAAACTACCCCCTAGTTTCTCCACCAATCCAAACCAAGCTGGTGATTTGTACAGACAGCTGGTTTGAGGAGACACTGAAAGTTAGCACGGAGGCCCATGCGTATCCCGGACATGCCGGAACTGATTGATTTTCCACCAACCGGATATTCTTTGTATGGTCAGTTGTATCGAAAGCCAATGTGAAACCAGCATGTTTTATGGGTTTCGTGACGCGCTTCCAAATAAGTCGGACGGTCGGCAGCCTTGATTCAATCCAAGGAACACGCACTTTTGGCATTTCCTCAAGCTTCCGTGCTCTCAAAAGCAACAGCCACAACTTGGAAGTAGGGTCTCTCGCTTTTGGAACCTGTGTATTGCTTGGGTCAGCCGACTCATGTCTCAAGACAGCCGCTCTCAGATTCTCCACCCGCAATGACGCGACGGATTGCCTAAACCATTGGGACGCCTAGTCTCATGTCCTTTGGCACAGATGCTGTTGGCTCATGGCGGACTCTGATTTCGAGAGCCTTTGAACCACTGCCCACAGCTCAGTTCTGAGATGCAAGCGATTTGGGGTGTACCATGGTGTCGTGGAGGTGTGAAGCCCCCACTCACGACAGGGTGAGAAGGAACAGTCCCGTTGCCACCTTCGGCTTGCAACCTTGATTCTTGATACCATAGTTTTTGCTAGACATCTTACTGTTTAACTGCCAAGTTTGTACACAGGTCTTAGTCCCGATCTTTGTGTGGCGTGTTCTTCCAAGCTTGGCTAGCTATGGCCGGCCAGATGAAGCATGTCCATGTACATGACCGCGATGAGATGTGCCGTGAGCAAGGGTTCCATTTGTTCTCTCGATGCCTTGAACCCGTGGACTGTGGTCCGTGGGTTGTAGCACGTTAACGGAAAGCCAGACAATACCGGGCTGAACATGGTTGATCTAAGGGTGTCATCTCCCATCCAAGGAACATGGTTTCGAGCGATTTCAAGGCATTTAAAAGTAATAGAAGCGCCTATCTCTGAGGATCCAAATGCCAAGTTGCTTGTCAAGCGGGGGGGGGGATCGTTGAGGCGGAGGCCAGCTGGATTCTCCCAACACTTCTCCAGAGTTTGCCTCTCCGATTTCAGGACCGGCAGAGGAAACAAGCAAGATCTGAGATCGCCATCTCCGGACGGGTAGCTGCGATGCGCGCGTCTGGAATCGGAGCCGATGTGTCAAAACCAGACACCTCTTCGATGAGAGACCAAACAAAACTATTTCCTGCCTGAACAAAGAGTTTTCAATGGGTAGCTTATGTTTCCGTTTGCCGGGGTCTCTGGTGTTGACACATATTCCTCATTTTTCCCTGTAACCTACCACCGTTCAGGTGGCGTCTTGGAACGCACCCAACTGGTGCGCGATGGGAGTTGGAGCCCAATCGACTGATGTCGCTCCCGCATCGCGCACCGGACTTCGCTTTCCGAGCGACATTTAAGTCTGTGCCCCCCTTGGTGGAGTCGGCCAGGCTAAAGCCCCTCCTTTGTTCTGGGTGAGTCAATCAGGGTGTGCAGCGCATTTGAAGCAGAGTGACATTTGTATTTTTTTTTCCCCAGGAGAACAAAGGGCTCTTTGAACGTGCCGGTTCCGATGTAACACATCTCACGGCATGCGGCAGATGCATATACAGCCTTGCCACGACGATCCTGTTCTGCAGATGAGATTTCCGAGTCAGATGGTGACTGATCGGTATTTTGTCATGGCATGGCTCCTGTTTAAACGGACATCCGCTCTGCTGCGGATTTTTCAAGCTCGCCCTCTCTAAGCGGTGCTGGCAACTGAAAGTACCCCAGGGCGAACTGATCAAAGATCTGTTCCATGTAGCCCCCATTGGCAGTTTGGGCTCTCGCACGTACCTTTAAACAGGAAAGAAGCGTCGCCCGCTCGAATGAGGTCGCTGGGTGTCCGCAGCGTTTCCCTCAATGCAACCTGAAAAGGGCACCCTCAAAGAAACACACACACACACAAAAGGGGTCCAAATGAATGCTCATAGGAGCGCCCAACGTAGGCGAAGGGATGACTTTTGCGAAGTGACAAGTAGTAATTAGCTGGGGAAGCACAAAGTCTTCCAAACCCCTCGAAGTGCGGGAAGAATCCCATTCAGTTTTGATCCCAACCCCAACCCACGTCCGGAGGTGGGCTCAGATGTCGCGGACAACCTGAAGAAGGCGCGCGGGGAAGTTGCCATGAAGTCTCGACCAACATATCATGGCGAAGGGGCCTTTCCAACAGCAGGTTTCGTCTTCCCAGGGTATCTGGACTCTGGACTTTATGTTTAATTGTCCACACCCGGGATTGATGAACCTGGAATGGTCCTAAATGGGACACCCTTTTCTGTGAATCAACCCAGGTGGACAAGAATCCGGGGCTCCCCTTAGATCATCTAGATCATTCGAGTGTGTCTTTGCTTGAGCCTCGGTACTAGTACCCCCTTTTTGCTGGTCTTAGAGAGAATCCAAAAGGACAACGACAATTTTGGTACCCTATTTGTTGGTCTTGAAGGGAACCAAACGCAATACCGCAATTTTGGCACCCTTTTTGTTGGTCTTAAAGGAAAGCCAACCGCAAAACCCTCCCATTGTCAGGGGGCACCTCAAAAAAGACGTGCTACTGCCCTTTCCGCAGGTGGGAGCAGAGGCTGTCGTCGACATCGACATGAGCCACACGAGGTGCATCGAGTGATTGCGCTGAATGCATTTACGGTGCCTGTGTTTGTCCTGTTGTTTGTGTTGATTGCTTTTGTTTGGTTTGTTTGCCTTGTTTTGTTTTTTCCATTGAGTGATTGTGTTCTTTTGTTCTTTCTTTCTTTCTTTTTTTGTGGGGGAGGGGGTGGTTGGGGTTTCCCGTGCCCTCCCTTCACTAACAGAAGCAGCCGTGTGGGTTGTTTCTAGGTTTTTGAATACCAGGGCTGTGCTTCGCAGAGGACGTCGAAATGCTTGTCTGTTGGGTTCCTTCCAAAAACCTAAACGAGGGATTCACCACTTTGACACCCTCCACTTCAAACCACCATGAAAACAATGGGGGTTGATATAATTACCATGATTGACCTAAAGAGCTTCATCATCCAAATTGGGTCAGCCATTCTTTGGATTGGGGTTGAACCCTACTGTAGGGTGACCTTCCGGATTGCACCCCCCCCGCCAAAAAAAAAGCAACATGAGGCAGAGAAGTGAGTGGCTTTATCAGGCTGCGTCGGCACCAAACACTAAGGGTGTTCCTTTTTCACGAGACCCCAGGCCAGTCACGGAGGAAGAGCGCAAGCGAAGCAGTGCCGGGCAGCTCAGAACCCTTTTGGTGGGCCAGGGCCCCTTGACGGAAAAGTCATAGGTGCCTTGCCCGACAGCAGCCCGCTGGCTTGATCCCAAAAGGGTCTGCCATTTTGAGAAGCCCATGGATCCCTGTTTTGGGTTGGTGAATATATGGGTTTGTCTCATGCAGGAGCTCAAATGGAAGAAACAGGCTTCTATTTGGTCTGCTTGCGGTCGTGTCTCTGGCCCCAGGTTGGCTACGGCCGAAAGCTGTGCAAGCTACCACGAGAACAGAAGAGACCTTTGGAATATGGGAGTGTGCTTTTTGGAGGGTACCATGGGAGTGGGGAGTGTCTTTTTTGGAGGGTACCATGGGAGTGTCCTTTCTGGAGGGTACCATGGGAGTGTCCTTTGTGGAGGGTACCCATTGTTTGGTTGGTGTCGAAGGGAAGCCAAATTTTGGCAAGTGTCTTTTGCAAGGGTACCCCTTGTTGGTCTCTTTTAAAGGGGTCCCCTAAAACGACACACCCATTTGGAATATATGCAATCCAGAAAGCCCGGCCAACAATTTATCCAAGGCCGCAAACTGCTTCTACTTGGTGGTTTATGCCCCCAGAAGTGAAGCACGACACCGTGCAAAGCATTACGTACGACTTTGGAAGGCTTATGTTATGCACGACTGTATGACATGACACCTTGGCTGATGTGTCTCACTTTCCAGTGCCCCTTTTCTTTTCTCCAGGCTCTTGAAAATTCCGCAGGGACCCCAGATCCGGTGATGAACCAGAAAGCATCACCAGTGAATATTCAATAGCTGGATGGAAGCTGGACTCCCAGTCATTTTTGTGTTGCTGGCTCGGATACTCCGTTTTCTTTAGTTCATGTTGACCGGCAAGACCACTTTGAAACGAGTGAAGTCTCTGATACTTCTTCAAGTGGGCATACATAACATATGTTCTATATATATATATATTCTATCCAATCCTATTTCATCCACCCAAATTAGTCCAGCACAAGGTTCTAGCTAGACCCAGTGCTGTATCTTCCTTCAACCTGGCTGCTCCCGCATTCGACGCACAGGCCTGCTGCCGGTGTAGCGAACCTGCCACGGCTGGGGCGCCTGTTGATGCGGTCGTTTGTTGGGTTCGCCTTTTGACCGACGGATCCGTAAGGAACGAAGAACCACAAGATATATGGCCGTGGGTCAAAACCAATGGTACCATTCTGGGGTAGGTGCACCACCCATTTTAGTCTATTTTAGTGGGGATTGGGATGTTCACTGGGGGTACCGGCTTTTGACCCATGGCCATATAGATGGAGCTAGAGATAAAATAGAAACCCTGCATTTTCCAAAGGGCAATTCTCCTACAGAGAGAAGCACTGCTTTTTCCAAGAAGAGAGAACCAAAAGACATCTTGCCTTGTTTTGAGAGAGGTCCCTACATTTTCCCAAGGGCAAGCCCTCCAAAGGTTCCCCTGGACCAATTGCCTTGTTGATCTTCTGAAACCAGACAGTCAAATATCCTGTGCTGAATAGAAGCATGGTTTGCTATAGAGATCAATCTATTAACTATACATATATATATATATACATACATGTATGTACATATATAGTAGATGATACAAAGCCAATGCCTCCAAACGGGACATGCAAGGTTTCGGTCTTAGCGACATTGGGAGGTTTCCACAAGGCCCTTGAAGATTTGCCAACTCGATTTTGGGATGGGAGCCTTCCTTTGAAAGGACTAAGATTCCACTACCTCAAAGGACCGTTACATTGAAGGTAAAATGGGATATAGAACCCGAACAACGCCACCATATATAAGAGGTTATATACACCATTCTGTCTTCAGGGTATAGTGATATGGGGATAGTGGACGCCAATCGTAGAAAAGGGTGGTTTGCGGTTGTGGTCGCGCTGTTGGACATCCGGAAAGAGAGACAACAAGTACGAGCCCACAAAAGGAAACAAAGCGTCTGGTGTAAATCCTTCTGCCTACTTTGGCGACCCTGGGGTTGAACCAGCACACACTAAAGGTCCAATGCACCAGAGGGTCCAATCCTTATTTCTGGTTTTGTAGATTCTTTGTGTGTGATCTACAAAGAGTATGCAGCGGCATCTCTGGTCGGCATGGCATGAGACGCACAAGGGCTCCAATGTGCCGAGCAGCTGATGCCTCCAAATGTCTCCCAAAATGCGTGGGCCTTTTTTTTTCATGGGAACCCCTCTTTAGTTGTTTTTGAAGGTCACCCCAAAGGACTACCACTTTTTTTTTGGGGGGGTCCCTCAAAAACACTCAAAAACACACACGCAGCACATTAAATGGCTTGGACCACTTCAAAAGGAAAAGAGGGGAGAGGTCAAACGTGTAGGGGCTGGGTCATAGGACATTTAGGACAGTTTTGTTGTTCTTTTCGGAATTCAGGAAAGGAACGGTTTTCCGTGGGCAAGTGGGAATCTTCTGAATACCCAAAGTTGATCATGCCCAACCTCGAGGTGGCTTTCGTTTCCTGGTGTTCCGGTTCGGACCGGCGGCTTTTAGGTCTCCTTGAGGTCCAAAGGAACACCTTTGGCATTCTTGGTGTGTGTGTGTGTGTCTTCCATCTGCTTAAGGATGTGTTTTCATTTTCCCCTGTTGGTGTGCTAAAGCGAATCTACCACTGGACATATAGTTTTATTCTGCTCAGGGGACAAAAACGCCAGTGGAAGCCGTGCTTTTGGAAGGTAGCCTGGGGGTTGGCAGGGAAGCCAACGGGAAAATTCCGCAATCCATGTTTGGGGTTCTTTGACATATAGCCATTTCATGTGGGGAGCACAAGGCTAAGAACATTCAAGGAAACCACCAGTTGGATGGTTTGGGGTCATTCAATTTCAGCTTCGATGTTCAGGTTCTCTTTTGCGTCAGCCCGTAACCAGCCCTCTGCCAAAACAAAATGCCGAGGCCACGAACCACGTGT